AACATGCCATGCTACTCCCATGCTGCAGAGGAGAGCATCAAGACCTAGAGGATTTGCGTAATTTATTTGGAGATGCTGAACTCAGTTCAAGATGTCCCTAGACCTTGATTAGGAAGGAAATAGAGTCCTGGGCCACCTGCTGTCTTCGGAATGTTTTCTGCTCACTTATATTAAGAAGTCTCCATTCTCTGTGGACTCCTCCTCCTTGAGTAGCCTCTGGCTAAAGGCCAAGGGCTGGGGCCATAAAGATAAACAGGATATGGATTCAAAAGGTACAGACAATGCAGAAGATAATGTGGTTACACCAACAGCTATGAGAGCACAGCAAAGAGAAAGCAGTAGAAATTTTGACTCATTTCTGTTGCCTGGAGGTCTGCTTTGTAGACCACAGTTGAGCATGTTGAAGCCAACATTTCTTTCCAAGATTTCCATGTAAGTTTTAAACAATGTGAAATGTGGAACTTTCCTTGTGAAGGGCTTTGCCTCTTTTCCTTCCATAAGGTCCTTTTCATGGGGAAAACTGGGGATCTCTTCAGAGGCTCAGCCTTACATACTTAAGTAGCCTGGCTCCCAGGAGAGTGGGAAAGCAGGGCCATGCATAGCAGGACAGGGCTCCAGGCATTGCAGAGTACATGACCAAGCCAGAGCTACCCAGACCTGCTCTGATGCCTGGTAGGAAGGAGGCCATCTTTGAGGAAATGTACATCCAAATCTCACGGCCTTAAGAGGCCCAAGAAACTGAAGTTTTATATTTAGTATATCACTTATAATTGTAGAAATCGTATTTTTAGCTTTGAGCCAGCTCAACTTGTCTTTATTAAAGAAGTTAGTTCTTAAGAGCACAATGTTTTTTTTTTTTTTTCCCAGACTAATCAATAGAGAGAAAAACAAAGCCAAACAAAAAACTCCAACTTTGTAGGGCAACTAATGGGGCCCTAATGAGGCACACTGTCAAAGAGACAGTGTCATGAGAGTTAACAACAAAGGGAGGAGTTTTTGGACAAAGAGCTGCCACCTGTTGTGATGGATTAAGCCAGGATCTGGGCAAAAGAGCACTATTGTAACAATAACAAATATGAGTACAACTTGGTCCCGGCTACGTACCCAGTTTAGGAATGTAGCTATTAGCCCCCACACTGTGACTCAGCACAGAAGACATGGAGTGGCATGGACATTTTCTGTAAAAGTGTTAACACACAGCGAGATTGGATGATAAACTGGACTGGAACCAAAAACTTGGTAACATTTCATTCTCTTTCCATCATCAGTGTAAGAGACTGGCTGGGAAGAAGTGTAGAGTTACATTTTCCAAGAAAAAGGGATCATGAGATTGACATGTGAGTGACTGAGGCAGCTGTGGAGCCAGCAGGGCACCTGACACTTGTCTGTGGAGAGGAGGGGACTTCACGAGTGACTGCATGGAGGCACATGCAGACTTAGGGACTCAGGGTGACTTACAGGGCTCTGAGGAAAAGATGAATTACGGACTTTAGCTCACAGACTAGCCACCAATTTAGCATAAACCCTGCACCAATCTTTTTTGTCTCAGAATTTCCATGTCTGGGGATGCAGCTGTGAATGTATCAGACTTTAAAATCACTTTCAAAGTTATTGAATTTAAAAATCTTCAAATATTTCAGCTTCAAATACTTCAAATACTTTTCATAAATTACAACAGGGAACTGACTCACAGTCCAAAAACATTGGCAGTTGGGACTGAAGAGGTGCCTTGCATCTCCCTTTAGAGCTAGCCAGCTTTCAAAGTCCTAAATTTTGTATTATTATTATTACTCTCTGTGTGTACATGGTGTGCCACAGCATGTGTATGGTCAGAGGTCAACTTTGAGGAATTTGTTCTCTCTTTCTACTGCGGTCCTGGCTATTGAACACTGACCATTAGGCTTGTACAACAATCACCTATACCATTGAATCATCCCATCAGCCTCTCACAGTTCAAAAACTGTGATGTGATTTGTCTCTTGTTCTTGCTCTCTGCCCATTCTCTAAGAGGAAACAATATTACCCCACAGCTTGAAAAATCAAAATTCTTGTATTAGTAAAGTATACAATTTTCTGGAAGACACTTAGATAGCACCAGTCCACATCCCAGTATTTACTGAGATTGTACTGTTGTGAATGGGTAGCTCACTGCATTCTCAGAGACAAGGCCCTTGACTCCAGTCAAAGGTGGATTCCCTCTGTACCACCTGGTGTTCCCCGAGCTTGTTCATCACCGGTGACAGCAACCCTTGTATCTCTGAACAGTGACCCCTTCTGATTCCTGGCATCACTTGGTTCTAGACATGACAAATTCCCATGTAAAGTTAGTCACAACCCAGGGTGAGTCAGGCACAGAAAGTGCTGAGCCCCATGGAAAATCCAAGTTCTGCATGAGGTCTGTCATCACTGTTGGCTGCTGCGGTCAGAAAAGGGTAAATGCCAAGACTGTATTCTCTCTGCAAGCATACATTTATTTTCAGTGGTGTCACACACATACTACCAGCAGTTAACCTTTAGTCTTTTTCAATGGATTTAAAGGTTTCAACTGTCAAAACTGGTAGTACACCACAGTCCATGGATGCAGGCATACATTGTGGAGTGGCTATTCAAGTGTTTGTCCTCTCATACACTTCTTTTGTGGTAAGAACTTTTCAAATCCACTTATAATTTTCAACTGTATATGACAATGTGGCTTAGGTTTTTGTCAGCTTCTCAAGAGCTTGGGTCATTTCAGGAGAGGGAACCTTAATTGAGAAAACGTCTCCTCAGATTGGCCTATGAGCCAAGTCTGTGGGACATTCTCTAACGATGGATGTGGGAAGGCAGTGCACCCTTGGGTAGGTGGTCCTGGACAAGGAAGCTGTGGAGAGTAAGGCAGTAGTCGGTGTTGCTCTAGGGATGATCTTGAAGCTGTAAGATGAAATAACCCTTCTGCCTTTGGGTAGTTTTGGTCAGTTTTTTATCACAGCAACAAAAACAAACACAATGATGTTACCATTAACTATAGCAATCATCAGTTGACCTTTCCCCTCCTACATTGAAAAACAAAACAACAACAAAAAAAAAACAATAAACAAAAACTTGGCATGCTATCCTTGACTATGAATTAAGTTAATCTTGTCTGGGTGCACGCATACTAAAGCAAGCACTAGCTTTATGAGGTGCTTACTATATGCCACACAGTACCTCTCAGATAATACTGTATGCGGTATGAAACTTACCATATTATACATACATACACACATATACATGTAATGTGTGTAACCATCCTTCAGGAGGTGGTTGCACACAGAGATTATACAGCATCAGAGCTAGGCTCCTGGCCCTCCGAGTGATGCCACAGTTCCAGTCCTGGGTGCCTTGCTAGACTGTCTGCTGTCAATCCTCCTTGTCTGTAACTGCGTCCTAGCTCTCCCTCATCCTCAGCTCTAGAAACAAACAGATAGCAGAAGCACAGGGAGAGAGGCACACTCTGTTAGAGTCAGCTTAGTCACCATGAGCTGACCCGACACTCAAGTCCTTCCTCAGTCCTGACAGCAAAACTGGTATGTAGCCCAATGGTCATCTACTCTCACAGAAACAAGAGCTGTCACTAGGAAGCCAGTGGAGGTCCCAAATCTAATACTCAAGTAATGGTAAAGTGCTGTGTATTCTGACTTAGTACTCTATGCACCTGAGCCTCTTGGCAATAATGCAAAACCCTGGGAATGACTGACAGTTGTCATGGTGACAGTGGTGAGGAGGGACTTCTCTTGTATTAGTTTAAATTAGTCATGGCATCTGATTTCTTCTTGTCTTGATTTACTATTATGTTTTTACATTCAGAAATTTTATTTTTGTTGATCATTTTGTTCTTTAAATATTATTTTTCTTTTAAAGATTTTACTTTTATTTACTCTACCTCATCTCTCTCTCTCTCTCTCTCTCTCTCTCTCTCTCTCTCTCTGTGTGTGTGTGTGTGTGTGTGTGTGTGTGTGTTTGGGTGCCCACAGAGGCCAAAAGAGGGCATCAGGGCCTCAGGTCCACTGGAGCTGGACTTTGTGATGTTGTGCGGGAACTGCTTGGCCTGGGTCCTGGGAACCAGCTTCTGTTCCCCTGCTGAGCCATCTCCCCAGCTCCTTACTTTGTTCTTATATAATATCTGCAGAGTCATAAAGTCTTTCTAAATTAGTAAATTAGCATGGACAGTTTAGGTTTCAGTATGGGACTTTTAAGCAAAATTTGTTTTTTTGATTCTCTTCCCTGTCTCCTCTCTGTCCTTGTATCATTCTACCCACCCCTACCCCACAGCCTCAAGTCTCACCTCCACTTATTTAAATATAGGCAGACATTATAAGCTAGGATCCACAGATGAGATTATGTGCTCAATATAATACCTCCCAGCTTCATCCATTTCCATGACAATTTTGTGATTGTGATTGTGATTGTGTGTGTGTGTGTGTGTGTGTGTAATAGATCAACAAAATCCCATGGTGTCTGTGTACCATTCTTTATCATCCATCTACCATATAGGATGCTTCCACCCCATTGCTATTGCTACAGGGAAGCAGTGAACAGCTCTGTGACATATGACCACGCTGACATTTCAGAACAATGCTATGCTCTAGGTATTATCTGTCCTACTTAGAAGAACTGGGGCTGCAAAAAAGACAAAGTTTGTTAATGCTCAGAGGTTGTACATGGCAGAAAGGAAGTAAATGACTGTGCTCTTTCCACTACCCCCTAACCTATGTGCCACCTACTCTCACATCCACACCCTTTTCCTCCACTCATTTGGATGAATGTACCCTGCCATTTCTGATATGACAATCACATTTCATCAGCGGTGAAAAACTGGATTTGCTAGCAGGAATTTGAATATCTTTTGGATGTAATGCTTTACTTTGTTCATGGCAAAATCTATATTTAAGGGGCCCAAATGTATACTAAATAAGCCACTTTAGGTGAGGTGGTTTCAGACAGACAAAACAACAAACCTTTGACCTTGGAATCTCTTCCAGACATACTGTAAAACCTCGCTGAACTTGGAACACTTGGATATCTCCTTCTGTCCCCATCTGTCAGATGACATTATAAAAACAGTAGCCATTTTCTGCACTCAGATCACGTCTCTCAACATCGCAGGATGTCCAAAGGTATGCATGGCAGCTGGAGCTTAGACAAGTTAAAGGGCAGTGCCCGACAGTGGTACCAGGCAGGGCAGCAGGCAGGGGCTGGACTTGCCCTTGAATCACATTTGTTTCTGCTATGGCTGGTGGAAATCACTGGAAGCTTTTTCCCATCTCCAAACTGGAAAAAGCTCTAGCATTTTATTTGTGCCAAAGCAGAATTTAAAAACATCCAAAACATTATTCTCATGCAAACATAATTCATTTAATTCATTAATTAGAGAATCAGCAACATAATAAAGTCATGGCATACAGCATTAGAAAAACTGGGTAGGAACTGAAGAAAGAATTATGGGTCTCATAATAGATCTAACATTGGTTAATATCCTACGGGCCAATAGAGACAAAACCTTGGGTGAGAGTTTCTACTGGACAGAAACAATTTGCATGTCTCCTGAACAACAACAACAAAAAAGACTGTGTGTTGACACATAACTTCACTGAGTTTGGGCCTTAGTAAATACCAAACAGCATGTGAAGTAAATGTTTAAGTTTCTAGGCATTCCCAGTGGGGTAGTTAGACATGTCTCTGTATTTCAACAAAAAGGCACGGTGTCATCTTCAGTCTTAATTTGAGTATCTGACAACTTTCCTGACACTTATGCAGGAAATAATGCTCATTATAAACTCTGACTATAAAAATGCTGTGGGGAGTTTAACGGCCACTGCCATACCATCAGAGAACACAAATTGCTGGCGCTTAATACTTATTTTTTCAGTTTTTTTTTTTCCTGTGTACCAAAATGTCAGAAATGGTTCCAGAAGGTTTGTGTTTTGTTTGTTTTAAAAGATGGAGTAATAATTTCAAAGTACAATATAACTTACTTTCTTTTGTCTTATAGAAACCTGAGTCTGCATTAATATGGCAGATCAAATATGCACATATAACTTCTCTTGAAACCCTATCACAATTGCAGCTGAATAGTGAGGGCCCATTTGGAAAAGAAAACCAGGAAATGAAACAGGCAACAAAATTGTGAGAACTTGAAAGTAGGTGAACAAATTTAGGTGAGCTGAGACAGCTCTGATCCCCATGCCAGGGCAGAGAAGGCTGGGTACATCTGATCCATACAATGGGCTCTCAGCTCCACAGACTTCTGAAGGGACTGTGCTGTGAGGGGGCTAAAGTAAAGTCCTAGTTAGGCATTCTAGAGGAGCAGAGGCCCAGGTCCCTGTGCCCCACACCTCTGGGTTTTTCTCCTTGCCCAAACCAGAAACATAGACATTCATTTTTTTCAACCCATCTTTCTCTACCTTGACAGCCCTGAAGCCCCAGACAAGGCAGTTCTTTGCAAGGAGGGCCGGTTATGCTGTCATCACTGGATAGCTAACACCCTAGTATATGCCCCCCCCTCCCCCCGCCCATTCACATCTTGAAAACCAAGAATGTCGCAAATACTGCCAAATGTCCCCTGGAGAGCAAAATTGCCATTATCTGGCAATGGTAAAGGAGGGGAAGGCTTCTGTGCAGGGAAATGGCATGTTTAACTGCGAGTTTGGGCACAAACATAAAAGGGAAAATGAGGTCCCTGAACACAGATAGCAGACACACTGGCACTTTTCCTTCTTACTCTGCATCAAGAATGTGCCTGCCAGAACTCTCCTCAGGCAGGAGATAGAGGCCTCTTCCATAGAGACCCCGCCTGCCCAGTGAAAGACTGGACACTCTTACACCCTCTTAGATCACACACTGCACACTCAGCTTCCACTCAGAAGCTGGCCCTCCACTGCTAACCACAAATGACCAGCCAAGTGTTACCAGATCAGCAAGGAAGTCCCTACACAGAAGATTAAATATCCAAACTTGTTACCAGGGAGAAGCTGGAGTTGGCAAAATATGCAGAAGGAAGAGAATAGAAACCTTAAAAATGCTTGGGAATCACAAGCTGTTTAAAGCGTGTTCTGCTATGCACACCCACTGGTTTTTTCTTTTTGTTTGTTTGTTGTTTTGTTCTTTTTTTGTTTTGTTTTTTGAAACAGTATCACCCCAGTTCTCAGGAGCTGTGCACCCTTGCTGGGCTACAAATTCAGATGCTTTACTGTTGGCTTGAGTGGAGTGGAGGTGATTCTGGAACCTCCCAAATCTTCCACACTAATGCATCAGATACAGAGGAGGAGACGGGAGGGGAAAAGATGTGGTAAGCCAGAACAAACTAAGCCAGAAAGTTTATAGGAAAACTGTTAGGGTAAAATACAGGCTAGCCTGGACCTTATCAGTAAGATCAGGCTGTCCCTGACCTTGACACAATTTTCCTGCTTCAGTCTTCATAGTGCTGAGATTACAGGTATGTACTACCAGGCCCAACTACAAGGTCTCTTTTAATAGTGGATGTTTTTCTGGCCCATGTCACCTGGTTCTGGAAGGAAGCAAGCACTGTCAAGAAGCTTGCACCCCAGCTACAGTTGCCACCTGACTCTGCATGTTGCATGTCGAACTACTCCAGCTATAGATAGGGTAAGGCAGAGGAAGATGAGGGAGGCTTTCTAGCAGCTCGCTAACAAAGGAAGAGAGGTAGCCCTGCATGAAGAAAAGGCTCTAAAGAGCACAGGAAAGAGAGAGGAAGATTCCTTTTGCAAAGAAACAGAATTCCTCTATAAACTAAGGAATTGTCCCTTGCATCTAGAGATCTGACCTGGATAAATTAACATTAACTGCATTACTCCATACTTAACATGTGGGGAATGAAGGGAAGTGGAATAGATCTCCCCAGAATAAGACACCGGGCTTGGCTTTCCCTTCCAGGCAGTGCTAGTTAAGTCACATATGTGCCCTGATTCAGGAAAGGAAAGTATACTTATTTGGGCCGATCTGAATGGTCCTTACTTGCTTCACTTTGCCTCATTTTACTCTACCTACATTGCATTTGAGGGGCCACAGGTGAATTTTGATATGTTTTACCTGTCTCTGGGAAGGCTAGCTTTTTTTCAGTATCCCTCACCTCTAGGTCAGTCAGTAGTGCTGGGCCCTCATCTCTATAGCACTGTGATGCCAGCCAAGGAAAGAAAATGCCAGAGACTGGGAAGAAAGTTGACTGCCATGGGCCCAATGCAAAGGCCTTAGCCATGTTCTTAGCAGTGATTTTGTTGTCACCTCTGATGACCATGACAGTGGCTTGAGGTAAAGTTAGTAATTATAAAGGAAGAATAAGGGGAAAAGAGAGAAATCAAATGACAACAATGAAATATTTATGCAATTCATCTTTGAGGGAAAAAAAATCTCAACCAGGCAAAGGGGTAATGAAGTATGATTTGCAGATAGATAGGAAAGGACAAACAGGGTCAGTATTCCAAAGCCCAGGAGAAGTGTCAGACTGGAAGAGTCTCCCTCATACTGTGGCCGAGGAACTCCAGAGAGCAGCACCTGAGCCCTAACCCTGGATTTTACACCAAAGGGGCAAATGACATGCTAAATCACTGAGAGGCATCTTGTTTGCAAGGGGACTGGAGCAGGACCCACGGTGTCCAACGAGTCCCTCAGCTCAGGATGCTGTACCCTTATAGTCTTGTTATGTATGCTTTTAGAGCTAACCATGAGAAAAAGAAGGGACCCGGATGAAGCCAACACCAACTGGGAGACTGCTAGGCATGCGAACACAGCGGAGGAGCTGTGGTTTGAATGTGGACTATCCCCTGCAGGGTTATGTATTTGAACACTTGGTCCATAGCTGATGGCACTGTTTCAGAAAGTTATGGAACCCTCAGGAAGGGGAATCTTAGAAATTCTTTCAGTTTAGAGATTTCAACATGGTCATAAGTCAGTTAGAGGTTTTATAATGGTTATAAAAATGATCAATGGATTTTTTAAAACACTATATCAGCATGGAATGCCTGACATGTAATGTTGGATAGTGTATATAATATGTTACTGCAGCCAATCACCCCCTCCCAAAATGGATGGCTTAGACAACTCACAGCTTTTTAAACTTAAAAAAAAAAAGATTTGAGTTTGAATTATGTGCATGTATGTTTCAGTGTGCGCATGTGCATTTGAGCGCAGTGCCCACAGAGGCCGAAGGTGTTGGATTCTTGCTGGAGCAGAATTACAGGCAGTTGTAAGCAGCCTGATATGGGTTCTGGGAACCAAACTCAGGTCCTTTGCAAAAGCAGTGGACATTCTCAATCTGTCTCATTTTATTTGCTCACAATCCAATGGGCCAGCAGTCTGAGCCGGTGTCACCTGGCTTCTACTAGTGGCTGTGCAAGGTTGTCCATGTAGCCATGGCTCCATTTTGAGCTGCCTGTGTATGAGTCCTCAGCTGAGAGGGAGTTCTTTGATTGGACATAGCATTGCCCTCCCTCAGGCTCCCTGAGTTAGTTCTAGGCCAGCAACACATCCCAAGAAACAAGAGCTCAAGCAGATGATGGTAGTGTTGTTATCTAGCATGTTGAAACCTTTTTCAAATTTCCCAGAACTTAAGACATGCTGTAGAATGTTCAAAAGTAGTTATGGTTTAAGGTGACACATTTGTAATTGTTTCTCCTTTACTAATTTTTAAGGCAATGAGCTTATATTTCTTCCAAAATAGGAAATATTTTAAAGAAACCAAAAGCTTTTCAGAGACTTAGAGGGACATGTGTTGGAAATAACAATCTGTGTAGTGAGCCAAGGCCAGGATCTTGTATCTGAGAGTTGGGAATACTAGCCAACTCATCTCCGCCCCCAGTTTCCAGCCCTTGAGTCATAACCCCCCAGACATCACCTCCCTATTGGACACATGGAGCTTCCAAACTACAGATGAGGGCTCCTTTTCAGGGCTCCAGGTGAAACCCTTCTACTCTAAAGCCCCACCTGCCTGGACTGTCCCATCACCTCACTGTCCTATAATGCTGAAGGTTTCTGTTTTCAATGATATTAGGTCTGTAGAGACTCGTATAGCATGGCAAGGAAGTGTAAGGGATTTTTGTGAGAACAAGTTACAATTCTGAGCCTTGGTTCCAAGCATGTTCCAGAAACAGGGAAATGCCTAGACAATGACAGCATCTATTCCCCCATACTTAAAAAAGTATGCATATCAAACCAAAGGGTTTTTCTGCATAATTCTCTTAACTTTAGGTTAAGCTGAGCCTCATAGTGTTATTTTTTTTGAATGTTCATATATAAAGTAGAAAATTAAATCCAGTTGGAAAATTTCTTTGGGGAGAGTAATCTAATTTACTCTGCACAAGTTCCAGTTCATCCATAAATCAAAAGCCAAGTCAGTGAAATAAACTAGTGACGGGGCTGAATTACCTCTGCAGGACAGCTGGGCAGACTTGTAGGATGGTGGAACACTGGCCAAGATTTGTCTGAGCAGGACTTGCACTGTCACTGTCTGTGGCTTCTGTCCATCTCCCTCTTGTCTCACACCTACTGCTATCCTTCCAGAACCAGGCCACTCATTCTTACATATGACCTATTGTAGATGTTCAGATCTTTCTCACAGAAACCCAATGCTGTACGGAGATGGACTTTAGGGCGTGTATGTCAGCAGCTCTGCAATTCCATGTATTGGGCATACTTTTCCAAACTGGTAAAGCTTTACAGAGGACTTCAAGCATGGACAGTCCCACTGCTGTTCTAAGAATTTCCTCACTTCCTCACAATGGCACAATAGGTATTAACTACTACAGAGAATTTGACAGTGTTTCTCATCCAGACCAGAGGATGCATAAATCCTCCTGGTGTCACATGAGGCAGGTATTTCACTCTTCCAATCTTATTTGAAAGTAGTTAAGCCACAAACTTGGCCGATCATAGGATAAACTTGGCCAATTGCTTGTGTCCTTCCCTGCCACTGGCCACCAATGTCCAACTGTCCACATAACAGTGTCACAAAGTGGGACCTTTGGGAGGTAAATAGGTTTAGAAGAGGTCATGAAACTGCTATTGTGGGGACATGTCCTTATAAGAAAAGGCAGAGGCTGGAGTTCTCTATGCCATGAAGAGCATGATATGAGGCAGACATTGGCAAACCTGTACCTCACCAGACACTGCATGTGTAGCCATCTTGTTCTTGGATTTCCCAGGCTTCAGAATGATAAGAAATAGGCACTTGGTGTTTGAGCCACCTAATCTACCATATTTTATTACAGCATCCTAAATTAAAATACTGTTCTTCTTTGAGAAAGAGACAGTTGCACAATAACTGCTACTTATTTTGGCTGTATGTGCAGATTACTGATGGAGGATTGGAGACATTATCTGCAAAGTGCCATTATCTGCACATTTTGGATATCTCTGGCTGTATCCTACTTACAGATCAGATCCTTCAGGACCTTCAAATTGGCTGCAAGCAACTCCGGGTCCTCAAGATGCGATTCTGCAGGTCCATTTCTGGGTGAGTAGGCAGTTGGCTATGAAAGGGCTTGGAAATACGAGGATAGCATGGCACGTGGCTACACCATTTATATTTTGACTAACTGAAACCACCATTCTGAGTTGAACCTGGGATGCCCTTCTAAAATGAACTTCATAGTTTTATATTCCTTTTTGCAGAGGTCTTTCACTTTCAGCACCTCCCTCTCTGTGGTCAAGCAGGCAGCCAAAATTAATTCTGCCCCTTGTCACTTAGCTCTAGCTCTACTGCTGAACTGTATAGTCCACTCAGTCCATCTCCCCGAGTAAAGCAGCCCATCCACCCCAGATTGGAAGAACTTGCACCTAGGGGAAGTGGATCTCCTTCCAAAGCCTTGCTGCTCTTTGTTTGGGCCATGGACTGGACCCACTAATTAGTTGTTTAGAGAAATGCATGTTCCACTCTGCCCTTCCTATGGTTGTGGATAAATGCTTGGCTTACTATCACTCTTTTCCTGTGACACTACATGCCACAGTAATAACAGACTCATTTCTCTGTACCAGGTCAGCAGTAACTTCCTTCTCAGGATTTTTTTTCATTAAGTTTTTAATACAATTTTTACAGAACCTCTTGTCATGTGACAAGATGGATAACCAATACATTGCATAATGCACTCAACTTTTATAGAGTCTAAAACTTAAAAAAAATTCAAGGACCATGAAATTTACTCTAGCTTGTAGCTGAATAAAGAACTGTACCACATAGCCCACTAATTGCACATTCCCAAACTTAGCAATGAATACTTAGCTTCATATCAACTAGTCACAATTCTTTAAAACCAGTGCTTTCAGAAACCGCAGGTTACATATAATCTGGTCAACATTCAAGTCCCTTGCATATCCTTTCCCTGAAAGTCAAGGACACTGCTGTCTCTGAATGTAGTGTCCTTGTATCAGAGTCAACGCCAGCAGCCTTGGTGCAGTTTTCTTCATTATTTTAGTTTTCACTGCATAAAAAAAATCCTGGTTTCTATTCTAAATGAAAACTTTAATTTCATCCTACCTATTTAAGAGTTTTTGAGAAGAGTCACTAGTCACTAGTGTCTTTTAGTGCATGATCATTTTGTCTGCAGATAATTTGATTCTCTTTTTCTCTTTGTATTCCTTTCATCTCTTTTTCTTGTCTTACTGCATTGGCTAAGAATTTAAACATGATAATAAGAGTGACGAGAGTGGACACTATTGTCTCACTTCTTAGTTTAGAGGAAATGTTTCCTATAATTAGTGTGTTTGTTATGGGTTGTCATGTATAGATTTATTATGTCTATAGATGTGTCCTTAGTCATTTTTTGAAACTTTATCATAAATGACAGCATACTTAATGCTGTCAAAGGCCAGATATGCACCTACTAAAATAATCATGTGTTTTCTGAGTCTTTTTATGCCCTGTGTTATTTATCGGTTTGCATGTGTTATGCCATCTTTATATCACTGCAATGAAACCACCTTGATCATAGTATATGATATTTTTAATGTGTTGAGGGATTTAACTATACATATTATGTTGATAATTTTTGCATCTCTGTTCATCAAGAGGAAATGTGTGTATGTCTTTATGTATGCACATGAATATGTGTGTGTACTTTGTTTCCTTATTTCTTCCTAAGTAAGTCTAACAATATTTTTAATCACCTGGCTGTGAACCTCTGAGTCACAACCTTCCAAGAAAAATATATACTGGAGACAAAACTACATGGATCTTTAGAAAACTTATGGGTCTGTGAACTCTGGTGACAAGGTCTATTCTGACACATCAGTCTTCACAGGGAGGGTGGATCATGTTCCTTCATCAAAGAAACTGGAGATACATGAGGCTGAGCGCTTACTCAAAAGCACTGTAAATGACTTCAGTGTTCCTGCCTCTTGGCATGTATAAGGACATATATCCTGGTAAGCTGTAATTGGCTGAACTACAGATACTTCTGTCTGGAGTTTCTGATTTTTGCACAATTCCCAACTTTCCCTAGCAGCATTGAATGTGATTAGTGATATATGTTTTCAATTCCAAACTCAGTAATTTGAAAACTGGGGGGTTCCTTGTGCAGCTCACTAATGTTTAGCACTGTTGTTGCAGGGCAGCAGCTCACAGGATGTCCTCTGTGGTCCAGCATCAGGAATATAGCTCCGACAACCCTCCACGTTGGTTTGGCTACGATTCTGAAGGCAATCCTCTTGCAGGGACTCACACTAGAATACATCTCAGAAATTACACAGAACTGATAGTCAAAGAGGCATTCAGCAGTGACGAGGAAAATCCAGACTCCAAACTCAAATAAGAAAAACAAAAGTTCTGGGACTGACAGTGTTTCTTCACTTGATGTTAATATTGTTAGTTGTTGGCTCCCAATAACAACACACCAAAAAAGCAGCATGCCTCTGCTTCTTACTTCAAAGGCAAAGGTCAACTTTATCTAATGAGACCCAAGGTAACCTGATCAAGTTATTTTTAAACATCTACTTACTTAATGTATGTGTGCCTGTGTGAGTCTGTGTGTGTGTAGGAGTCCACAAAGGCCTGGAACTTGTGTTACAGATGACATGAGTGCTATGTAGGGGCTGGGAACCAAGCCTGAGTCTTTAAGGCCAGTAAAGACTTAACCACTAAGCCATCTCTCCAGCTCTAAGCAAACTGAGTTTAGATGAGATGATCAGATCCAAGGTTACAATGTAGGGAACAGATTGGAAAGAAACAGCTTTTGGTTTTTCTGTTTTTTCCTTTTAACAAGTAGGAATTACTCTCCAGACAGGAAAAGAAAGTGGCCACAGTCACAAAAACTAGCCAGCTCTGGAACCAGGTGATGACTCTGAGGATGTGTAAAGCTTGTTTATAAATGACAGGAACATACATCTCAGAGGCAAAGAAGCTTTCTTGTAATTTCCTGACATTTGACAATAAAGAACTAAAAGTCAGCCCTAGATTCAAAACTCAACAGAAGCAAATGAGAGAGAAACGAGCAGTGTGACCAGAAAGGGAGCTCCTGTGACACCTCAGGTCTTGTCATAGCTGGCTACACAGGAAATTTACTCTGAAATGCCAAGAAGACACACAAAGCACCTTCCAGTTTGTTTCTATGAAGAACTGGCCTTTAATTAATATTGAAAACTAATTTAATATGCTTCTATCATGGGTTTTTACCATTACTCGATCGTTTATCATTACCACTTGGGATCTGATGCTGCCAGAACAGGAGGGAGGTCTTTTTTTGACTGCTACACACAAACTGTGTCAATGACATTAGGTCAGTCTTTGCCTATTTACTCAGTCACTTATTTCTTAAATTAGGTTAGCCTATTGACTTACAAAATTGAAATGAAGTTAAAACATTTCAAGGATATTAAAGTCTTGAAAGGCTTTACACTGTATTATTGAGTATTCTGTATCAGTTAAGTGCTTTTAAATAGTGTCCCTTCCTCTTTTTGAATGTTTTTGAAATCAGCGGTAGATGGGCTCATGGGAGTCAAGAGCAAGGGAATCTGTTAAACAGCAAGTCTTAAGATATGAGCCAAATGACTACGATAAGAGTGAGACTTTTAACTAAATTTGGAGGTCTGTGGCAGCTGATGAGAGCTGGCTTCAGAAGTCTGACCCGAGTGTTTCATGTACACAGCTAGGAGACATAAAAGAGGCAGCTGGCTTCCAAAGAGAGACATCCTCACGGGGAATTGCAGGCCAAGGAAAGGCCAAACTAATATATGTATATATGTGTGTGTATATATAAATATATATATATATATATTTAAATTTAGAAATAATATTATTTTACATATCAATCCAAGTTTCCTTTCCCTCCCATCTTCCCATGCCGCCCACTGGCTCCCCAGGGAGGGTGAGGCCTTCCATGGGGGAATCATCAAAGTCTATGACCAAACTCTTTGTTTTGTTTTTTGTTTCTCAAGACAGGGTTTCTCTGTGGTCTTGGATCCTGTCTTGGAACTCGCTCTTATAGACCAAGCTGGTCTCAAACTCACAGAGATTGGCCCGTCTCTACCTCCCGAGTGCTGGGATTAAAGGTGTACACCACCACCTCCCAGCTATGACCAAACTCTTAATGTCTTTTTAAAACCAGGAATGAGAGGCCTGTTCATTCATCCTGAGGGCTACAGAAATGGGATGGAAGGAGTAGGAATTAGAAAAGCAAGCTATGCAAGGAAGCCAGTATATATAATTCCACTAATAACTTTAAGCATTCTTAGCTGAATTCTAATTCATGACCTTTTGGGCTGTTGTTGGCTACTTTTTATCAACTTCATTTTTAGTCATGAAATGTTTTTCTAATTGTCTCAGAGTGAAAAAATATAAAAATTGCCTTACTGCCTCATATCGCGGTTAAATAAGGATCAGGATAAACAAATAGGCCAAATAGATGTTTATTCAGGGAGAAATAACTTACAACCTAGACAGATGAACACCAGGAAATTCAACCCGATGCTCTCCTGTCCGAGTCACGCCAGCAAGAGAGCTTTTCCCGGCTCTCTCTCTGACCTCCTTCCACAGGTCACTTCCGCCCATGGCTCCTTCCCCCAATGGGCGTGGTCAGTGCCACAGAAGGACTATCTCACTACAGCCTCACTATTTCCTTTGCTTAACAGTTTAACACATTATTACACACAAACTATCCCAGCATGTAAGACATTCCATCTCATATAAATTTTGATTGCAATAAGAGTGAATTCTAAGAGTACAGTATAGTCACAGAACAAGGCTGATTTTATTTCACAAACAAGATATTAGAAAGAAGGTAAAGAAATGGGACATTAATAAAAGGAGACTTGTAATTAGAAACATTTACTTGAAATCTGTGTTTAATCACTGATTTATCCAAATCAAAATATTTAATCCAACAAATTGATCTTTTCAGTTTTGAATCCACAAAGTAAGTCTATAAAGCACAGCTTATAAAAGTATATTTGTATCTTCATACATCCCATTAGTGAGGTGTATCATAACCTACACAAGATACACTAAAATCAGAAGCACTTGCTTCCCCTACATGACAAGTGTTTTATTCACAACTTAAAGACAATGCCATAGGAGGTACCAACAAGAAAATCAGTTCCATGGGTTTTACAATACCAACAATCCTAAGATGACTCCAACAATGGTGCCTTTACATAGTCATCTTTTGAGTGGGAGCTGTGAACACAATGTGGTAGTCCCATAATCATGTTAAATATCTTGGTCAACCAAGCAGAGATTTCTCCAGTTTACTAGAAAGTCAGACATTCAGAGCATGAGAAGGACTCTTTGTTTTGCTTGAAGACAGAGGGCCAACATGAGGAAGGAGATGGCATGCGGATAGTCTTTAGAAGGAGTGATTGTTTGTGGAAGCCCAAGAAAATGATGCCATACAGGTATAAGAAATTTGATTTTTCCTTATAATGTGAGGGAACTTGGGAAATTTCTCACCACAGTCCCCAGATAATATTCCCAGCCTGGCCAACATCTTTATTTCAGCTATGTGACACTGAGCAGCACAAGGCCAACATTACCAACTTTATAGTTGCTAAAACAGTGACCCAAAGTCATTAAATCTGTGATACAACTGTTCTTCTGCTCCCATCCAAGGATTTGCTTTTTATTTCTTCAGTAACTTATAGTTGATAAGTTCTAGAAATAAGTACTGCATGTTTTAAATTATGTGTCATTTGAAGTAGCATGAGGAAATCATTCAAGATGCGAGTATACTATCTCTCTGTTAGTCACTCGGTAGCCACCCTGGCTGTCCAACCATCATGGTAGTGTCATAGTGGCAGAGTTCAAGAAGCCCTTATCTTAGTAACGGCTCTAAAGCACAATCATAGTGATTGCTTGCAATTGGGCCTGACAAAGAGAAGCCACAAAATGCTTTAAGGAAGAAAGTAAAAGTTCTCAACTTAATAAGAAAACTAAACTAAATAATATGCTGAGTCAGGGTGGGTGCACTTGTGTGAAGTTGTAAAGAAGGGAAAAGAAAGCCATTATTTTGCTATTGGAAGTACAATGGTAAGTGTTTTGGCCAGAGAACATAACTGCTTAGTTGAGCATAAAGGCATTCAGTGGGCATATGTGTCTATGAAAAAACACAGTGTACAGCAGTTGACACAGTCTGTGGGTCACCAGGGGTCTTAGAACATATCTTGGGGGTTTTGTAATTTGGAATAAAGCAATAGAAAATGAATTCTACAGCTAAGTACACATTTTGCAAAAGTCCCCCTGAGATAGTTCACCAGTATTCCCCGCTATGCTGTTGTTTTTGACATTTATATGAATACTGGTGCCTGTACTTTTATACTCACAGGTCTGTTAGTCCATACTAAAATTAATAAACACAGCTGAAGTCATTCTTAGTCCTGCAGTTTCAGAGACTGAAACCAGCTCTGATGTTTAAAACTTACAGTGCCTTTGGGGGCAACAGCATTTATCCACCTTTCATGTCTGCTCGCTTGATTCATGAGTCCTGAAATACAAAGTTGCACCAAGTCAGTTTAGTGGCCAAGAACAAGTGCCTATGCTGCATGTGATAGGTATGCCAAGAGACCAGGCACTGATGGTTTTTCTACAATACAGAATTTCTTTTTCTAGTGACTCAAACAAACATGGAGGAAAGACAAAATCCTTAACTTTTTGTATTGAACATTGTGTGGCACCCATAACAAAGCATCATCAACAGGAAGCCTTTCCTGGGCCTTATCTTAATATACAGCTCTCATCCTGCCTCAAGTGTGTTTGTCTTATGGAGTGAGACGCCAATGCCCCCATTTCCTTCTGCAGCAGGAGAGGTCAAGAGCAAGGCTGCTGCTGGTGATGCACACAGACAAGGTCTCAGCTAGTTTCCACACTCAAAGTCAAGACAGCTGCAAACTGCCTTTAGTTGTGGGCACCCTATCTTGTCAACAGGCACTTCACTGAAAGCTCTTGGTCCTCTGGCCTGAATCTATGCACATGCTATTCTAGCTTGTACTGTTTACAAATCCCACAGAGGAAAGTCTTGCAATACATTGGAACCTGGGGTTCCAAAACCTTATCTTTATATGTCTCTTTACCTAAAAATGGAGACAATTTTCCTGGGGCTGAGAAATGAGAGAGACACTACCATATTCTGAGGTAGTATGCCTCCCAATAAATGGAAGAACAGTTTTCTACATTGGTTTAACTCTGCTATTTACTCACTAGTCTCCTACTGAGACCTCCCCAGATACATCAATTCCAAGTTCTTTCTAGTTAACTCCAAACATACCTGATTTAACCTGCACAAGCTAACAGATGGAGACAGGGTCCAGGAAGTTGTTTACATGTGCACCAAGGCAACACTCCTACCTCAGACAGCAGACTAAAGTGCTTAGCACTGAGGTAGAGGGCATTGCTTTCATAGAAGTGACACTAACCACACACTGGCAAATGTATCACATGAAGTATGTTAGGGAGCTTCAGAGATGTAAATGACAATTCAGGTCCCTCACAAAATTTACCAGTTGGCTAGAAAATAATGTACAAACCATTATTCTAAACTTTTATAATTTTTAACATACACATTTCTATACAAAACCTAACAACACATAACATTCTACTCCAAATATAAATACTTTAATTCTGTCAGATATTTCAACCTTCTCTCAATCAAAGTGGAACCAAAGGTATTTTAACAAGAAATCATTACAGTAAAAAATATTTTTTTTGAGCTAGTCCAAATGAAACCCCATCCATTAAATTTTCCATCAGCTACTTGGAGTAACAAAGTTTGCAGAGTCTTCCAGACACATAGCAAGAAATAACCCTACAATAACTCTTCTTCAGGCCTTTTCCTCTGTAACATCTGGTTCTGCCTGTTGCACTTTTCATCTCAGACACTGTAGCTTTCATTTCTAAAGATGTTAATTTTCATCTTTTTTATACTTTGCAGGTCTTAACCTTTGGAAGACGAGGAAAAAAAACCTATGGTGTTGGTTTCTTTTTCTATTGCTTCTAACATCTATGTCTAGTCTGCAGTGGCTTATCTCTTTTCTCCATTACAGGCCGTGTTTTCCCTCGTCTCTGCCTCCCTAGTGCTGCAGTTATAGTACAGACACCATGATTGTGGTGGCTCTCCTCTTGGAATGTCTGATAATCTCTGAGCAGATGGTAGTAGGATAATGACAGTTGTTGAATGCTGCCAGGTGCCTTACTTCTATAACTCTTCAGTGCTGTTTAAGACTGTAGTTAGATTAAGTCTCTGATCTCTGTGTTTATGATGTGAGGCAATTCTAAAGCCATGGCCAGCCTAAGTCCTGTCTGCTGCCCACTACTAAGTTCAGTGATTACCTAGGCTTCTGTGAAGATTTTTCTTTCTAGTCTAGTGGGTAAATCAGCATTATTATTAGGTCAGTGTGGTGGCCACATGTGGGTGGCACGAACCCAGGTATGCTCCTGGCACTCTCACCTCCTATTTCCATTCTAGTAGCTATAGTCCAGTGGCTGCTGGCCATAGCCTCTGCCTCTCAGTCTGTCTCCCTTCCTTTATAGCCCAACGGCCACTCCTGTAATACAGACCCACTACCTCTGGGCTTTTGCCTTCTCCTATGCACATCATATCCACTACTAACTAGAAACATATTTTACCTGGAACTGCCAGTGGTCACACCTATCAGGATCCCAGAAGAAACTTCATACCAGGCAATACACAGCTACCACCCTCTCCTAAGAACCAGAGAGGACAACAGAAAATAGGAACAAAACACCTACCCCCAACAAAGACAAGACCAGATATCCGGCATCAAGAATTATAATCACCCCAAATCCAGATGCCTAAATGCCAGTATAAAAACACAGTAACAATCAGTACAATATTTCTGTCCTATAGCCCATCAACCCACCCACAACAGAGTATTGCAACATAGCTGAAACACGAAAAAGACCTTAAAATAGCTTTTATGAATATGACAGAGGTCCTTGAAGAGGAAATTAATAAATCCCTTAAGGATATTAATGAAAACACAAACAGAGGAAGGAAATGAATAAAGCCTTTTTAGACCTGAATGTGGAAATAGAATCAATTAAAAAAAAAAAATCCAAACTGAGGGAGATCTAGAAATGAAAAATGTGGCAACTCGAACAGGAACCTCAGAGGCAGGACTCACCAACAGAATATAAGAGATGGAAGAGATTATTTGAGCCATTGAAGATATATATGGTAGAAGAAATGGATATCTTGGCCAAAGAAAATGTTAAATCTAAAAAGTTCCTGGCACAAAACATCCAAGGAATCTAAGACACTATGAAGAGACCAAATCTAAAATAACAGGAATAGAAGAAGGAAAAGACACCCAGGTAAAAGGCATAGAAAGTATTTTCAACACAATCATAGAAGAAAATTTCCCTAATCTAAAAAAGGGAAATTTCTATAAAGATACAAGAAGTATACAAAATACCAAATAGACTGAAAAAAAAATGTGTTTCCTTGTCATATAATAATCAAGACACTAAATATACAGAACAAAGAATATTAAAAGCTGAAAGGGAGAAAGAGTAATATATAAAGACAGATCTATTAGAACAATACCTGACTTCTCAATGGAGACTTTAAAATACAGAAGGCCATGGACAGATGTGTTGCATATTCTAAAAGACCACAGATGCCAGCCCAGACTACTATACCTAGCAATTAATGATAAATGGAGAAAATAAGATTTTCCATAATAAAACCAAATTTAAGCAGTATCTATCTATCTATCTACTACCTACCTACCTACCTACCTATCTATAAATCCACCCTATAGAAGATGCTAGAAGAAAAACTCTAACCTAAAGTAGTTAACCACACCCAAGAAAACACAAGGAATTAATCCCAGCAACAAATCAAAAGAGGGAATATGCATGCACATGTATGTGCATATACCACAAAAGTATGACAGAAATGAACAAACTCAATAGTATCTCTCAACATATATCGTTTCAATTCCCCAATAAGACATGGAAATGAATGTGAAGGCAGATCCATCTCTCTGCTACACCCAAGAAACACACAAGACATCAAGGACAGACATCACCTCAGGGTGAGAGGATGGGAAAACATACTCCAAGAAAGTGAACCTAAGTAGTCATTTTAATATCTGATAAGACAGAACTCAAAAACTAAACAGAAGAGATATAATTCAATTGATATTGATTCTCACATACTGATCGTGGGAGCCTTAAATACCTGACTCACCAACAGACAGGTCACCCAGACAAAAGCCAAATAGAGAAATGCTAGATAGAGCTAACTGATATTATAAACCAAATGGACCTAACAGACATTTACAGAACATTCGTTCAAATACAAAAGAATATACCTTCTTCTCAGTACCTCATGGAACTTTCTCCAAAACTGACCACATACTTTGTCACAAAGCAACTCAACAAATAAAAATGAAATAACCCTCTGCATCCTATCAGACTACTACCATGGATTAAAACTGGATTTCAACAACAACAGAAACAACAGAAAGCTTACAAACTCATGGAAATGGAACAACTCAGGGAATGAAAAGCAGATCAAGACAAATTAAGAAAGAAATTAAAGACTTTCTAGAATTGAATAAAAATGAATATAGAACATACCCAAACTCTGGGACACACTGAAAGCAGTTCTGAAAGGGAAAGTAGCACTAAGTGTCTACTTAAAAAATCGGAAAGCTCTCATATTAGTAACTTAACAGCAAACCTGAAGTTCTAAGGAAGAAATCACATCCAAAATGAGATGTCAAGAAATAAAACTCAAGTAAAATAAAGACAAACAAACAAAAATACAAAGAATCAACAAAATGAAGAATTAGTTCTTTGAGAAAAGAAGATCTGACAAACCCTTATCCAAACTGACTGAAAGACAGAGAGAATATCCAAATAAACAAAACTAGAAATGAAAAGGGGGGAACATAACAAGAGATACTGAGGAAACCTAGAGAATCATAAAAACCTGTACTCAACCAAATTAGAAAATTTAAAAAGAACTGGAAAGTTTTCTTTTTTTATACATAGCAGCTATCAAGATCAGATAAGCAATTTAAATAGACCTATAACCGCCAGTGAAATAGAAGTAGTCATCAAAAAGTTCAAGGCCAGATGGTTTTAGCACAGAATTATACCAGACTTTCAAAGAAGAGTTGACACCAATACTTCTCAAATTATTCCACAAAAATAGAAAGACTATTGCCCAATTCATTTTATGAGGCCACAGTTACCCTGATACTCAAACCACAAAGATCCAAAAGAAAGAGAATTACAAACCAATGAAATACTTGTAAATCCAAGAACACATCAAAAAGATCATCCACCATGAACAGGTAGAATTCATCCCAGAGATGCAGGGATGGTTCAACATAGGAACACCTGCTAATGTAATCTACCATATAAACAAAGTGAAAGAAAAACAACATGTTTCTATCTCATTAGATGCAGAAAAGGCCTTTGACAAAAAAAAAAAAAAAAAAAAAAAAATTCTAA